ATTGTTAGAAAAGGGAGTTATAAATGAGAAAACTAGAAGAACCTTGTAGTCTTGGAATGGAATTGGATTTATTGGTGCAAATTTATGTTTTAATATATATGTACACGCATGTATATATTCAAATGCAATAAATGTAAATGTAAACTTGTTTATGGATATGTTAGATACATATGTGTATTCCTCAGCCCTGTCAGAGTAGCGAGAGCAGAAGCACAATGAGACCCCAACATGTGGGCTCATACCTAGTATCTAGATCTTAATGTCTTAATTCCCTTCTCCATTAGAATGAACCAGGGCTCTTTAGGAAAATGACTGGTCCTTAGACTGGAGCAGGGAAAGAAAAAGAAAAGCCTGGAACTTGTGCCAAAAGCTTAAACAATGATGGGAACATGTCAAAGGGACATAGAAACCAGCATGAAGGGCCTGTCACTGGCTAAATAGGGAAAACTCTAGCATAAAAACAAATAATGATAGTAGCAGATTACAACCCATTGGATGAAATAGAAAACCATGAGTTCATACTGATATAAATAAGTTGAAAGTTTGATGAGAAACAGCATTTTTATGGCATAAAAATAAAATAGCATACAAATTTCATTTCCCCCCCCACCCCTTATCAAAATATTATTAATTACAAAGGAGAAAAAAGTTTGTTTACAGTGAGGTTGCTTGGTAGGTGCCACCTTAATCAAGTGATCATCAGTATTAAGAATATTATCATTAATGGGCATTGAAATCATATGCCACATGAAAAGTGGCTGTATTATGATTATGTAAGGGAATGTCCTTGTTTGTAGAAAATACACATTGAAGTATTGATGCTTTAGTTCATAGCATCTCAGGTAGTCAGCTTACTCCCATTTGGTTCAGGAAAAAATAATTCTTTGAACTAAGTTTGCAACTTGTTTGTGATTATGTGAAAATGTTAAAAAAAAAAGTTAATAAAAATTATAATCCATTTATAAGAAGCCAGGTTTTTTTTCAGCGGTGTTTATAACTTATTTTTTATGCGTAAGTAGAGCATGATTTTTTGTGGGTTAAAAATAAAGTATGGCATCACTTATTGGAATGAAAGTGAGATAAGAAAACTGAATCCTTTTGCTCTGTGGTTGTGCTCATAGAAGGCCTATGTCTGTCTACCTGAGGGTTGCAGACTGTGCCCTCTCCCCTCATTAGACCATCTTCCCCTGAAGTTGTTGCTATGTGGATTCAGAAAAGCCATGACTTCAGAATGGGAGGGAGAAAAGACTCTGGACAGCTGAGGAGTTGGTAGGAGAGAGGGGTGTGTGTGGGGGTGTGTGTGTGTGCGTGTAGTAAGAAATTTTATGTATACTTTAATGCTTCAGTCCTGAAACTGATGGATGTTTGTCCCTTTCCTCCCTATAGCAGATTGCTTCATGATTCAGAGATTGGATATACCAAGGTCCCTCAGCCTGGAATATCTTTCTAGCCATCCCACTCTTCCTCTTTCACCTTAACTCCTGTGCTTTTTTGTAGTCCTGGGTTAAATGTCATTTTTTGGTTTCCCTAGACTAGGTTAAGTCCTCTCTTGGACAGTTCACTTAAGTATCATTGATCCTTAACCTCTATTTTAATGTGGGGATAATTATAATACTTCCTAGAGTTGTGAGGAATAAAAGAATAACTGTATGTAAAATGGAATAGTGCCTAGGCACATAGTAAGTACAATGAGTTAGCTATTGCTAACATAAAAGAACATATTTGAAATATTATATTTCATTATACATAGTTGTCTAATTATTTGTTAAATGCCTCTTTCTCTCATTCGATTGTTAGTTCCATGAGGAAAAGGACTGTTTCATTCAACTGTTTCTTAGTTTTTGGTATACATTGTATTCAAATTGAGTTTTATTGACAAATAATTGACATATATCATTCCATAAGTTTAAGATATACAGCCTGATGGTTTGCTTTACATATACCATGAAATGGTTACCAGCATAGATTCAGCTAAAATTTATCTTCTCATACAGACAGAATAAAAAGAAAAGAAAAAAAAAAAAGGAAGAAAAAATTCTATTTATGCTGAGAACTATTAGAATTTACTCTTTAAAAAATTGTTTTTAATATTTTTTTTGGAGAGAGGAAAGAGAGAGAGAGGGAGAGAGAGAGAGAGAGAGCGCGCGTGCTAGTGGGGAAGGGGCAGACAGAGAGAGGGAGACACAGAATCTGAAGCAGGCTCCAGGCTCTGAGCTATCAGCACAGAGCCTGATGCGGGGCTCGAACTCACAACCAGTGAGATCATGACCTGAGTCGAAGTTGGACACTCAACCAACTGAGCCAACCAGGTGCCCCTAGAATTTACTCTGTTAACAACTTTCCTATAATATTATGAAGCAGTGTTATCTATTATTGTGTTGTGCATTATTACATCCCTAGTACTTATTATTACTGGAAATTGGTACCTTTTGACCACCTTCCTCTAAATCTGCCTCCCCATACCCTCCACTTCTGGTGACTACAAGTCTGAACAGTATTTGCTTTTCTTTGTCTGACATTTCACTTAGCCTAATGCTTTCAGGGTCCATCTATGTTGTCACAAATTGTAGGATTTCCTAATTTTTTGTGGCTGAATAATATAGTTTGTGTACATATAGTACACAACATAGTGTGTACATGTGTACATTACAAATGTACATTACACGTGTACATTACATGTGTACAAAATAATATAGTTTGTGTACAACAAAGAAGTTGTGTTACAACTTCTTTATCCATTCATCTGTCAATAGAAACTTAGGTTCTTTCCATGTCTTAACTATTGTAAATAATGCTGCTATGAACATGGGTGCAGATATATTTTTGAGTTAGTTTTCATTTCATTTGGATATGTATTCCCAGAAGTGGAATTGTTGGATTGTAATATAGTTCTATTTTTAATATTTTGAGGATCCTCCATGCTGTTTTCAAAGTGGCTGCACCAATTTGTAGTCTTAGCAAGAGTATACAAAGGTTCCCTTTTCTCCAAATCCATGCTAGTATTTGTTATCTCTCGACTAATTGACGATGACCATTCTAATAGACATGAGGTGATACCTTATTGTGGTTTTGATTTATATTTCCCTAATCACTAGTAATATTGAGTATCTTTCATGTAAAACCACCTGGTTTTGCCTTTAAGCATATTATGTAGTTACTAGTTCTTATAACTTTGGTGAAGTTACTTAAACTCTCTGGGCTTCATGTTTCTTATGCATTAAACTGGGCTATAATATCTACCACCCTGAGTATTAAAGAAAATAGTTTTAAAGACCTAGCATTTCGATGGTGATCATTAAATAGAAGGTTGTTAAGATGTGGCCAAGAATATCAGTACCAAAAATATCAATATTTTAGTAAGTGTTTAAATGAAATAATATACATGGAAATATCTACTGAAGTTCCTGACTCCAAAGTAGGTATTCAGTTATTTTAGCTTCTTACTTTAACTTTTTTCTAATATCATTTATAGCTACAAACCAGTAAGCACATGCTAGTTCTAGATGCTGTATAGAGCACTTTATGTATTTTATATATAAGTACATATGGAGACACACACACACACACACACACACACACACACACACACACACCTTAAGTGTCACAAATACCCTACCCATTAGATAGGGTTTTTCTTTCCATTAAATAGATAAATTTAGTGAGGTCAGGTAACTCGCTGAGCCAGGATTTAAATTCACATCTTTTTAGTTGTAAAGCCCTTACTCATTTTAGTTTATCATGCTGTCTCTCTACATTTTTGGTTAGAGGTGATTTTGGAATTACCAGGTGTTCTCTTTTACAATGCCCTTGGTGGTGATGGCATCTATAAAACAGTTGATCTTCAAAAACTGATTTCAGTCAGATTACTTCCTCTGAAAACCTACGTGAGGTCTGTTACATGGAAGAGTGTACATACTGGTAACTGTGATAAAGCACCAAAATATTTTTAGGAGTATCAAAGTCCATGGTAGATTGCACCTTTGGTAGTTGTGAGCAGTGAAAGCTCTAGAATCTGGGAGTGGGAGAAAAGCAAGAGAATGAAGAAAAAGGAATAGAAATACATTATGCTTTCATACTCTGCCACTGTACAACCTTCTTGTCCTAAACTTAGCTGTTATTAAAAGTTTGTTAAGAGAGGGAAGCAAACCAAGAGACTTAAATATAGAGAACAAACTGAGGGTTGCTGGAGGGGAGTTGGGTGGGGGCGCATTGGTTAAATGGGTGATGGGCATTAAGGAGGGCCCTTGTTGGGATGAGCACTGGGTGTTACATGTAGGTGATGAATTGCTAAATTCTATTCCTGAAATCATTATTACACTATGTGTAAACTATCATGGATTTAAATTTTTTAAAAGGTAAAAAACAAAACAAAACAAAACATTTAACTGTTCAACACATGAATACATTCTCATTTCAAAATAATAAACATGTATGTTTAATATATGTAAACACATACACATACATTTAGTAAAATATAAAAGCTTTGTATTTCTCGTCTTATCCCTACATATCTGCATAGAAATTTTCTTCCTTAAAAATATGTTATTTGTTAACTTGTAATGGGTATATTATTATATTTAAGTGAATTAATATTTTAAAATTTCTCAGCTTTAATGTCGTATATGGGAAAATATTGATAGATGTAACTCACAGAAACAAAAGGCCTAAATGGAGTTTGAGATCAAATACTTTGAAAACTGCTGCCATCTCTTAAGTCACTTGTAAAGAATATTGTTGTAGACCATAATAATATAGAAAAACTCCCTTGATTTAACAATGTTTATGAGAAAAGCACAACACAAACTCAACAAATATTATTACAATTATGAGACAAAGAATAGAGAACAGTACTGGAGAAAATGTAGTAAAATCAATCTATTAAGGCTATATTTTGAATTATTTCATACTTGTTTTTTCTAAAGGCTTTTATACTGTAAATTAAACTTGTATATGGTGAAAAGTTTGTTAAAACATGAATGGGAATAATATCTCTATTTCAGAAACTCTGTAGTGATGCTCAAGTAAAAGTCTTTGGGAAATGCTGCCAGTTGAAACCTGGAGGAGACAGTTCTTCCTCACTGGATAGTTCTGTGACTTCATCTTCTGATGTAAAGGACCAATGTCCTAAGTACCAAGTAAGATCATTGATGTCATTTATTTATTCATTAATTTACAAATATTTTTGAGTGTCCGTGATGTGTTATGCACCATCCTAGGGATTGCCGTACAATAGGAACTAGTCCTTACCCTCCTGGAGCTTACATTTGTAGCTGTGGAGACAGATAATTAAAGAAGTATGTTTATGCATTTTGATAAATCTCAGGAAAAGTACAGAAAACTATGGTCATAGGTAGCCAGGAGTATTTTCTCCCTTTTATTTACCAGATTTTTTGGGTTATGAGAATAATTTATTTTAGATATCTTTAATTTATTGAAATAATGAAGATTAATATAAAATAATACAATTTGGCTGTAGAATGAAATTAAGTATGATTGGAACTATACACATGCAGAAATGGACATTTTTGTTTTTCAAAAGTAATGTGATTCTTCTTTTAAAATACAAACTTAAACAACATAGTATCTAATAGTAACTTCTCTTTAAATTTGTTATATTTCACATAAGTGTTTGGTTTCATACCAAGTAAATGTCATCTATGTGAATTTATTCATGTCATCCAAGCTTGCATGAATGCATCACAAGTATTTTATATTTAGCGGTACCAAAATGGAATCCTGGGCTTTTAAATTATTTGTAATTAGGTAGTCGTGTTTGGAAGGAAAGTGACCCTTATATGATGTCAATATGACAGTATCTATGAAAGAGCTCTGAAGTTATTAAAATCCAGATATTAAGAGGTAGTACATAATTTCCCCTGTCCACCTTTATTCCTCCAGCTTAAGCATGATACATTAATAAGTTCCTAATTGTGCTATATGCTATGTGACATCATCATACTTATACCAATTTGGATGTTTACTACTTTGATGAATTGTGTAAGCTTGCCTTTCTTCCTAAGATTATGGAGTTGAAAATTAGCACATGGATACAGATTATAGGAACCCTGAAGCATTGAGTGATTGGACTCTTATATTGCATCAATATCTCTAGAGATTTTCTTTAAAAAATTTTATTTTTAAAGTTTATTTATTTATTTTGAGAAGGACAGAGACAGTGTGAGTGGGAGAGGGGCAGCGAGAGGGAGAGAGAGAATCCTAAGCAGGCTCTGTGCTACTACCGCAGAGCCTGATGTGGGGCTTGAATTCACAAAACTGCAAGATCATGACCTGAGCCGAAACCAAGAGTTGGATGCTTAACTGACTGAGCCACCTAGGTGTCCCAAGATTTTCTTTTTTAAGGGACAGATTCCTAGGCTTTGTGCCCAGATATTCTGATAGTAGGCTGAGTATGGTCATGGAACTCTGTTTTTTTAGTAAGAGACATTGAATTATTGTAGCATATAGTTCACTACCCTTGATAAAATGTGATTTCAGGTAACTAGAACATTATCTTTGATTAACACAGATTATGACAGATTAATAACTTCCAACAATGAGTATGTTCAAAAAATTGCCTTTTTAATAAGGGCATTATAAAAAAAAGTATTAAAGTAATAGCACTTTTAAAATTGTAACCTTTATTATAGATTATGTCATATATAAATATGCCAGTGACATTTATGCTGAGTATTCGATATGTATTAGAGCAGGCAAAGAGAACCTTTACTAGCGAACTATATGGTCTGATAAAATTTAAACACCAATTTATTTTTACTGCGTTTTGGTTTCTGAGGTTTCTTTTCTAGTTTAGTATTAAAATCTATAACTGCTTTGATACTTAAATTCATAATAATTTTAGTCAAAATAAGAATGGAGTTAGCCACGTTATAGTGAAAATGAGCTTGTAAGAGAAGGCTCTCACTTCTGTCATTAACCAGAAGCAGTGTAGTTTGCCAAGTAGGGTTGGCATTAATTTTTTTTTTTTTGGATACGGGTGGAACAGTAGCTGGGGAGGGGAAGTAGGAGGGAGAGAGAGAATCTTAAGCAGCGTGGAGCCCAACGCGGGCGGGGCTCCATCTCACGACTGTGAGATTATGACCTGAGCAGAAATCAGGAGTCAGATGCTATGGACTGAGCCACGCAGGCACCCCTTGCATTGATCTTTTTTTTTTAGGAGAAAAAAAAAAGACCCTCCCATTTGATCATTAAAAAATTATTTGTCTCTGTTTCTAAAATGTTACTTTTAGTACCCAAACCTTTGTGTTTTGAAATAAAAGTTTTTTCTTAACCAAATCCCTAGATGAGTTCTTTTATTAAATAGGTATATCAAAAGTGTTTTTTTCTTTAAACATTAGCTTTTTGTCTTTATTAAAACAAAATTAAGGCTAACACCTAAGAGAGAAAAAATATGTAAGTGAATATATATTTAAAAATAATATGAAATAATTATGATGAAATGGATTGCTATTTGAAGATGTCTCTTTTAAGAAGGTTGACAAATGTAAATACATAGATTTCTTTAATCCAAAATGGGCAGTATATAAGCAAAAGAGTAGAAGAATCACATAAAAATAAAAATAGTGTACAGGTATATTTCCTATCCTCCACATGTAAAATGAGGGTCCTTGTTACTTTATTGTTAATATCAGAAGAGTCTTTTAAGTATTTTCTTAAAACTCCTAATTCTTGATTTTTTTTTTTTTGATTTTTTTTTCAACGTTTATTTATTTTTGGGACAGAGAGAGACAGAGCATGAATGGGGGAGGGGCAGAGAGAGAGGGAGGCACAGAGTCGGAAACAGGCTCCAGGCTCTGAGCCATCAGCCCAGAGCCTGATGCGGGGCTCGAACTCACGGACCGCGAGATCGTGACCTGGCTGAAGTCGGACGCTTAACCGACTGTGCCACCCAGGTGCCCCTCTAATTCTTGATTTTTTATGATAGAATGATTTAATGAAATTTGTGAATAATTATTATCTTAGATAGTTACTTAGGTCCTCTTTCTTATCAGTTTTATTATATAACTACAAGTTAGGAATTACATTTTTCCTAGGGATTATTTTCTTCACTGGATGACAGGTCTGAAGGTAGGCCATCTAGGTATGATATTTAGGGTTCAAGATGGCTTTAGAGATCAAGGTATCCTTATCTTTCTACTTACCCAGAGTTAATGTGTTAAATTGTTAAATTGTTGCTCTGCGTTCCTAATATGGTATCTCCATCTCCAGTGACTTTCATTTATATCTCATGCATATAAATGTATAAATTGTGAAAGCTGCAACTCCAGCCATTAGTTTAACCCTCGAAATGTAGAAACCAACTCTAAATTTGTCTTTTTTTTAATTAAAAAAATCTTTTATTTATTTTTGAGAGAGAGAAAGAGAGAGAGAGTGTAAGTGGGGAAGGAACAGAGAGAGAGAGGGAGACAAAGAATATGAAACAGGCTCTAGATTCCAAGCTGTCAGCACAGAGCCTGACATAGGGCTTGAACCCATGAACTGAGAGATCATAACCTGAGCTGAAGTTGGATGCCCAACTAACTGAGCCACCCAGGCACCCCTAAATTTGTCTTTAAGGGAGGATGTGAAATGCAGTTGTTTTTTCTTTTTTTTCAGTTGGGCACATTGCTGCCCTGAAACACATTAGACTTCAAAAAATAAGGAATAAGATATTTCAGGGGGTAATTAGTGATATTTACCACAGTATCTAATTAGTGATGAAATGGATGATAATTAAAGACAGAATGATGGAAAGGAATAACTTTTAATTGGAGTTCTTTGAGAATGAGATATTCTCATGTTTTAAATAAGTTCTTTTAAAAAAATACAAAGTAGAGGTAAATTACCGTGTTTGTGAATATCTCTTTTGTACAGTAGGAGTGGTGAAAACTGTTCTGCATGTTCAGTGAATTCTGTTTCTTATTGTCTGTCCTGGAGAAACATTGCATATGCACAAGATGTGGTTAAGAATGTTCATTTAAGGGGCACCTGGGTGGCTCACTTGAGTTGGCTAAGTGTCTGACTCTTGATCTCAGCTCAGGTCACGATCTCATGGTTTGTGGGATCAAGCTCCATGTCAGTCTCTGTGCTGACCCTGTGGAGCCTGCTTGGGATTCTCTGTCTCTCCCTCTCTGCCCCTCCCCCTGCCTGCCTCCCTCCCTCTCTCTCTCTCTCTCTCTGTATCTTTCTCAAAAATAACTAAACTTAAAAAAAAAAAAAAGAATGTTCATTTAAGCAATATTGTAATAGCAAAAACCTGGAAGTAACCTAAAGAGCCCATCAGTAAGGGGAACTGTGGTATTTTCATACAGTAGAATACTATGCAGCTGTTCAAAAGGAATCTTTGTATAACCGTATAGTTAGATGTGTAAGGCATTGTGAAATGGAGAAAATCAAGCTATAGAACAGTGTATACAGTGTAGTATCACTTAAAAAAATCATTATGTAGCAGCGCCTGGATGGCTCAGTCGGTTAAGCATCCGACTTCAGCTCAGGTCATGATCTCTGGGTTTGTGAGTTCGAGCACTGCATCGGGCTCTGTGCTGACAGCTCAGAGCCTGGAGCCTGCTTCGGATTCTGTGTCTCCCCATCTCTTGGCCCCTCCCATGCTCATGCTCTGCCTCACTCTGCTTCTCAATAATAAATAAACGTTAAAAAAAAAAAAAAACCATTATGTAGAATAACTATAGCAAAGCAATTGTCAATAAAATTCAGTATTGGAAATAGTCATAAGGTTTGACATTCTGCAATTTGATTAATGTTATTGTTGTTTTTTTAGGGTTCCCGGTGCTCTTCTGATGCCAATATGCTTGGAGAGATGATGTTTGGCTCGGTAGCAATGAGCTACAAAGGATCTACCTTAAAAATTCATCAGATCCGGTGAGGGCTTTTCTGATTTTTCATTATCCATGTTAGAATATGTAATTTTTAAACATGAGAGAATTTCATATAGTCTTCATGCAGATTGAGCATGTCAGATACTCAGTTTATGATATTTTGTGGGGTTCATGCTATTTCATGACTGTTGTAACTATACAGTGAAATGTCTGTCACTTACATATTTTGATTTATAATAAATTGAGAAGTTCCTTGTCTTAGTTTTGATCTCTTTCTTTCTTTCTTTTTCTTCATAGTTCCCCTCCACAGCTTATGCTTAGCAAAGTTTTTACTGCACGGACTGGCAGCAGTATCTGTGGAAGTCTCAATACGTAAGTGATTATGAATGCAGGGAGAATTAATTATTTAGGATGTGCAAAGTAGGGAAACGAACAGGGTATTCTCGGGGTTGCAGCTTAAATTGAGATTTTCTTCTACTCCTTAAGTTTGAAATTTCACAGAAGCCAGCCTTTTTTCTTCCAGCTTTATTGAGATATAATTGACATGTAACACTGTATAAATTTAATGTGTACAGCACATTGGTTTGATACTTTCATATATTGGAAAATGATTACCACCATAGCATTAGCTAACTAATACTTCCATGCTGTCACAATTACTATTTCTTTTTTGTGGTAAGAACAGCTATGATTTAACCTCTTAGCAATTTTCAAGTATAACAGATACAGTATTATTAGCTATAATCAGCATGGTTATCTAATCAGGTGGTTAACTGAAGTTTATAACTTTTGACTATTATCTCCTCATTTCCTCCACTCTCAGCCCCTGATAACCACCACTCTTCTTTGTTTTTCTGTGTCCAATTTTTTTATATTCCACATAGAAGTGATATCATATGGTGTTTGTCTTTCTCTGTCTGACTTATTTCACTTCTCATAATGCCCTTAAGATTCATTTATGTTGTTGCAAATGGCAGGATTTCCTTCTTTCTCGTGGCTGAATAATATTCCATTTTTTGTGTGAGTGCATGCATGCATGCGTGTGTGTTGTGTATGTGTATGACATCCATTCATCTGTTGTCTCCATTTATTGACTGTTGTCACTAATGCCACATTGAACACCTGAGTGCAGATATGCCTGTGAGATCTTCATTTCAGTTCCTTTGGATATATACCAAGGAAGTGGGATTGCTGGATCATACGGTAGTTCTGTTTTTTTTGAAGAACCTTCATACTGTTTTCAAGTGGCTATATCAATATATGTTCCCACCAAAAGTGCATAAGGGTTTCCTTTTCTCCATATCCTGGCCACCACTTGATTATCTCTTGTCTTTTTGATGTTAGCTATTGTAATATGTATGAGGTGATACCTTGTTGTGGTTTGATTTGCCTTTGCTTGATGATTAGTGATGTTGAGCACCTTTTCATATACCTCTTGGCTATTTGTCAGATGCCTTCTTTGGAAAACTGTCTAGTCAGTTCTTCTGAATATTCAGAGGAAGTTACTACTTTTTTAGTCAGGTTGTTTGTTTTTTGCTCTTGATTTGTATGAGCTCTTTATATATTTTGGATATTAACCCTTTAACAGATACATGATTTGCAAATATTTTTACCATTCCATAGATTGCCTTTTCATTTTGTCAATTGATTATTTGCTGTGCAGAAGCTTTTTAGTTTCATGTAGTCACATTTACTTATTGTTGCTTTTGTTGCTTGTGCTTTTCTTTTTATGCCATGTCCAGGAAATTGCTGCTACAATCAATGTCAAGGGAGCTTTTTCCCTATGGTTTCTTTTAGGAGATTTGCAGTTTGGAAGTCTTATGTTTATGTCTTTAATCAATTTTGAGTTCATTTTTGTGAATGGTGTAAGATAGGGTTCTAATTTCATTCATCTGCATGTAGTTACCCAGTTTCCCATAATCATTTACTGAAGGTACTCTCCTTCTTTTGTTAAGTGTTCTTTATATGCGGGTTTTTTTTTTCTGGGCTTTTGATTTTGTTCCATTGTTTTCTGTGTCTATTTTTCTGCCAGTACTATACTGTTTTGATTACTTTAGCTTTGTAGTATAGTTTGAAATCAGGAAATATGATGCCTCTGGCTTTGTTCTTTTTCTCAGGATCTCTTTGACTTTTCAGGGTCTTTTGTACATACAAATTTTAGGATTGTTTTCTTATTTCTATGAAAAATGCCATTGGAATTTTGATAAGACTTGCATTGAATCTATAGATGATTGTGGATAATATGCACATTTTAATAATATTTGTTCTTCCAACCTACTTTTTTGACTTTTTTTTCTTTTCGTGGAAAGATGTTGTGTTTTGTCAAATGCTTTTTCTGCATCTATTGAGATGATCATATGATTTTTATGTTTCATTCTTTTAATGTGGTAATTCTCATTTATTGCCTGGCATTTATTGAAGCATCCTTGCATCCCAGGGATAAATCCCACTTGATCATATTGAATGATCCTTTTAATGTTCTGTTGAATTTGGTTTCCTAATATTTTGTTCAGAATTTTTGCATCTATAATCATCAGGAAAAGTGATCTGTAATTTTCTTATAATGTCCTGGCCTTGGTGTCAGGATCATGCTGTCCTTGTAAGATGAGCCAGGGAATACTCCTTCTTTGATTTCTGGAAGAGTTTGAAAAGAATTGACATCAATTCTTTATATGTTTGGTAGAATTTACCAAGGAAACCATCTGGTCCTTGGCATTTCTCTGTTAGGAGGTTTTTGATCAATGACTGATTCTATCTTCTTGTTACTGGTCTTTTGAGATTTTTTATTTCTTCATGATTTAGTCTTGGTAGGTTGTATATTCAGTCTTGGGATTTATCCATTTTTTATAGGTTACGCATTTTGTTAGCATGTAATTGTTGATAAGTAGTTTCATGATCCCTTTTTATTTGATGTCAGTGTAATGTCTCTTTCATATCTGGTTTCATTTATTTGAGTCCTCTCTCTCTCTCTCTCTCTCTCTCTC